TAAAAATAGAAAGCAATGACTGTAGATGCGATGAGACTGCTATATAGCTTATGGCATGTGCAGCAAATGGGCTATAGCTTTCTCTTAGTTTGTGTTGCTAGGAACAAATTCCAAAAACACATTGATACTACAACACTGAGCCATTCTTCACTGTCAAGTTTGTAGAGGAAAACACAACAGGGCCGGCGATTAATCCCAGAGAAAGAAGGAAACCAAATATGGGAAAAAGGAAAAGGGTATGAAGTAGGAGATAACAATACAATTGACTGAAAGTAAAGTCACTTCTAGAAGAGCATAGCCGCCCATAAAAGCCATGTTGACAGCAACAATTGACATTGTATATCTATGGAACAACAAACTATCCATACTGTCGCTTTCAATAAGGAGAGCAATAATTAGCATACTATCGGGGACAAATATTAGGGTACCCGAAGAGGAGGAGCTAATGACCATCAACGATTAATCAAGAGCGCAACTACGCCCGAGGACTGGCTCCGCCTCGCCCGACCCCCGAGGGTTGGCTCGGCTGGATCCGCCTCGCCCGATGTCTGAGGGCCGGCTCCGCCTCGCCCGATATTTGGGGGCTGGCTCCACCTCGCCCGATGTTTGGGGGCTGGCTCCACCTCGCCCGAGAGCTGAGGGCTGGCTCCGCCTCGTCCGACGTATGAGGGCTGGCTCCGCCTCGCCCGAGGTCTAAGGGCTGGCTCCGCCTCGCCCGACGTCTGAGGACTGGCTCGCCCTGCGCACGACTCCTTTACGACAACGCGTGGAGCAGATAAGGCAAGGCACTCAAAGTCAACTTCAATATCGAGAACCGTACCCTGCACACCTGCAGGACAGTACTCTCAGGCCATGCCAGAAGAGTGTTTTGCAACCTTCCAGGCATGTCAGAGCCCCAACAGTGTTATAGGCGCCGACATTTGCCTCATAGTGTTGTGGGCGCTGTCATTTACCCTAGGGCACGAATCTTTACAGAAGCTAACGACAACCACTACGGTCCAGAAGGAAACTCGCATCACCCACAGTAACGGACGTGCGGTCACTGTGCTGCCCGCTCTATGGCCATTGATCAGCACCACAGTCACCACAGTCGCCATTGCCGCCTGCCAGGATGGGGATGGGACTTGACAACCCACCCGACAATATCGGGGGCGTAGCGTTGTGAATGGACGAGCGCCAGTAGCCCCTGTCGAGATCGGCGGACAGCGCCCAGTGTGGGGTTGTTCCTGCCGCCGCCTACCATGTCAACAGGGTCCGCGCAGAGGAAAAGGAAGACCCGGCGTCCTTGGCGGACTTCCTTGGCCTCTGGTTTTTCTCTTTTCTCCCATCTGTAATCTCTGCTCTCCCTTGGCCTATAAAAGGGAAAGCATGACATCCCACTAAAGGGATCGATTGATCACATCGAGAAATCACGCCACATAGTTGAGCAGCAACTAAGCTCTCAGCACCTATTCGACTTTTTCATCAGAGACTTGGGACTTGTCCCTCTCTCGTCCGTTTGTAACCCCTACTACGATTTTTTCAGTGCTAATAACACGAGCAGCAGTTATGAACTGGACGTAGGGACATTCTGTCCGAACCAGTATAAACATTGTGTCTTTTAGTACACTATCCGGGTCAGACGCGCAATAACACATACCTTTAGCCGCATCATACACCTTAAAAGATTAGTGTTTTCTACTTTTGTAATATTTTTTTTCTGAAAGGATTCCTTTTTACCTTTGCAGCAATTTCCTAGTTTGTGCCCAAAAACGAAAATAGAAGTGATAGTTAGCTATGTTGAAGATAGGCTAAAATCATATAACACAGGAAGCAAAATCACAACTAATAGGCAGTGTCCATATAGTACGTATTACCTAACCAATGCAAATCAGATTATCCCAAACTTGTGGATCCAAGGAATACTGAATTTCTACATTGCCTATGTCCCCTGGCGGTGACCTGGACATCGATGAACGCACAGATCCTATGAACGCGTTGAAATGTGATAGCCGAGCTAAAATATCAAAGTTATAAACTGAACAAGAACAGATTAGGGAGGAGCTTACCAAGATAGCACAACATTATCAGCTTATCTTTGTTCCATATGTGCATAGAACAGTGAATCTGATGCTGGTTCAGCAGGTCTGAAAAAAACAGTATATAGTTCAATTATAAATCGAGGAATGTAAAACTTGTGATCAATATTTGTGTATAGTCGTAGGAAGAAGCGTAGGCACTGCTTCTTTTTTTTAGAAAGGAAAAATCCACAACATCAAGAGCCCTGGGCACTGAGGAAGATTCCTTTTTTTAAATGTGTCTCATAATAGCTCATAATAGCAGGCAACGCTAGAAAAAAAAAAAAAAGGAAGGGCTTAGTCCTTTTTAGCAAATGTAACTCATAATAGCTCATAATAGCAGGCAGTGCTACATGCATAGAAATAGATGGTTGAAACAATATACATGTTATAGAATATGAAGCTAATTTAGGCATTTGGTTGCATGTTTCATTATTTGAGTGAGTACCTGATTGTATTATAGAGGGACCATTTGAGCGTATCTACTTTAACATGTCCCAAAATTAGCTTCAAGATGGGCTAACCGGCTGAGTGAATTTGGATAGAGCACTTGCTTCATCATGAACTTCTATTTGCAATTACGGACTACCTTGATCAGTAGTCTACAGCAAGCAGCACATCATCTTAACATCTTCTCCTAAACGAAGAGAGGCCCATTGCAACTTCTATTTGCAACATGATGACCGAATCAGCACCTGTCACACCACCACCAGAAGGCATGGATACACAAGATGCGACAGGAATAAGACTTGAACAACTTTTTTCCCCCTGAGATCAAGTCTAGTGAACATTTAGAAGTTGCTAGATTCCATAAACCTCATAGGACATAGTAGGTGATAAGATCATAATTAAAAGTTGCCCATGTATCATCGATAATTTGTAGAAGCCGCAGTGGTCGATATATAATTAAATGTACTGCTCTGTGTTTTTGGATCTACGACGACTTTGTGTAGTACATAATAATTAGGAACAAATGAAGGAGAAAAGGAAGCTTGGAAAATGTGCTGGTGAAGCAAACTCCTGAAATCGAGTTGGATTGTTGGGACTCAGGAAACTGACCTGGCGACATGGATGACAAAGACGGTGCACTGGATCCGTCTCGCTTGGTCGCGCTGGCGTCGTCTCACAAAACCCAAATCGATTATCAATTGCATCAAATTGACGAACCAATAAGATGAGCACAACGGCACACATCTGTTCCACCTGCATCAATTTGAAGAACCAGTAAGATGAGCACATCGACACACATATGTTCCAAGTCACCACTCGGCTGCAGCACAGACCCGCTTTGTGCCATTCTAGAAAGGCAATAGCAATATTAATAATGGCCATAGCGGTGTGTATAACCCATATGCATACAGAGAAATGGCTAGGAAAATATTCGCATAAGTACATTGAAATAAAAAGCAAGGAGCATGCAGAAGCAGCGGATATGGTCATAATACTAATCTTAATTTAAGGTTTGGCCCACGCAAAAGGAATGGGTTCACCAAAATCAATTTAACTTATGCAACAAGAAGCAAACCCGTCAATCCGGATTTAAGTTAAGCAACAAGAAGTAAACGCTGGAGTCATGATAATGTAGAAATAGTAAAGCCAGTCTTGTAGCATGGTTCCGATGAACTCACTAAGTTATTTTTCCTAGAACAATAGAACCATAAAAAGCAGTGTGAGAAATTTCAATTCTACCAGGCTAGAATTACGCTAATATGTCATGGAACCAACGACACAAACCTGATTTAGAGCAACTATGCACCCAAAAAACAAGGGTAGAAAAATACACTTCTTTGAGCAGCATAGTCAAGATTGGAAGGAAATCTTTGAGTATGCGATAGATGAATTCATCTAAGTTGTGTATGGCCTCAAAATTCTTGGAAACATGAGCAGAAGATGGGAAGCCACATATTGAACCGAAATTTGTTGCGCTAGCTGTTATAATAGTTAGAGGACCATTTTGGACATGCAACTACGAACATAAAACAAAGAGAGTAGAATATACGCCACCTAGATAGAAATTTATCTAGCCTCAAATATTTTGGACCTCTAGGTACCACTATACAAATGGAAACACTATATATAAGGGTGCACATAAATCAAGAGGCACCTAGAACTAAGATGCAGCTGGTAGAAATGTTTTGCTGGTCCATAACCGCACTATAGTTCGAGCATTAAACGTAGCATCCACCATTTATCACCATAGTGTCTGTGCGAGGAAGAAACAAATATTGAATGTACCAACCGTTGTAAATAGGTCTTGAAGAGGTAAAATTGTTTTAGAAATTTAACTAAATTATGTCATCCTATACCCCACATTGATGTAGAGATTTTTTTTTGTTTACCCCCAACTGCCTGATGGCAACCAGATTAAGGTCTACAGCCATCTCCCCATGAATGAGTCCCCTATTGGTCATTTTATGCGGAACTAATTCCAATTAGGCAATTGTACTATCTATTTTATAAATTTATATTTTCTAAGTAAATTTGAGAACATCACAGTAATCACCAAATCTCTAAAATTGAGTGTAATTTGTGCATAAGATGTCCCTCAACCTAATTGTTGTATAAATTTACATTTCCTAAGTAAAGTTGAGGACATCACAGTAATTATCAAATCTCTGAAATTCACTGTAATTTCTGCATAAGACGTACCTCAACCTAACTGTGGAATAGCATAAGACGTACCTCAACCTAACTGTGGAATCAGCCACGGCAACTAACGACGCCCAGCAGTACAAACTACAGGGTCCGGCTAAATAAAATAAAATAAAATCTGGCTCTGCCACGGCAACCAACGATTCCCGCTCTCAGCGATAGCGAAATACCGGGTTCCCGCTCACGACTCACGAGCACTTCGTCAGATAAACTGCAAAAACCGAGCAAACCAGATCTCGTCAACGCTGGCGGGCGATCGAAAGAAGGCGAAGCCCGAATCGGGTGAGGGCGATGCCGGCGTACGATCCCAAAGACGACGTCGACCGCCTCTTCGCCTGCTTCAAATGCGGCGTCTCCCCTCCCAGTACGCTGCTCCCTCTCCCCAAGATCTGCTCTTTTCATTTTTCCACATTGCGATGTGTCCCCATTCTCACCGTCCGTCGATAATTCGCTCCGCTTTTTTCTGTGGCGCCCAGAATCGGCGTTCAGGGAGAGGCCGCTCCCGCAGGCCAAGAAGTCGCGGGGCTCGCCCGTGTCGGTGATTGCCAGTAGCGGTGGCGGGACCTCCTCCGATTATTCCACTGCGTCTTGTGATTCCACGCCGGATGCCGCAGCGGACAAGGTGAGGCCGAGGCATGTCTCTTTTCTTAATTTCCAGACCAAAACAAAACTGAAGATTGTTTCGGCCAATCCTTGTGTTTGATAGCATGCGGCGCCATCGTCGTCGGCGAGCAAATTTACAGGCCGCAAGCAGGTGTCCCCAGTCGTGTTCTACGGTACCCCGCAAGGCGTCCAAGTGAAACAGCCGCAGAGCTTCTTGAAGCTGCTGCACGTGATCCGCATTGATCTGAAGAAGCAAACGGACTTTATCCCCAGGTGTGGCATTTAGTCCACGCCGCATTGTGTGCTCTGCTTGATAGCACATAACGCTCGTTTTAGTCTGACTTACTGTTTGTTGTTGGCTATGGTTATTGGTTAATTGCTATACAGGGATGTTGTCTGGGCTACATTTCCTAGGCAAGATGGGGCAATCAGGTTCTCTAAGGCACACACGCATACCAACGTCTTTAGCTATCAAGATCATAGGTCCGGGACAAGAAGGTTCCTTGTGTCTACATACGAGGAGTTCTGGAAAAGGTTGGGTCCTTAGCAAACTGCATGTTTTGTACCCCATTTCACTTCCATGATTGTGCGTGCATAGCAGCATTCTTGCAATTGAAAATGGGTCTGTTGCTCCTTGGCTAATGTCAAGTTCTGTTTCTTTTTTTTTCCCCTAAATGGTCAACCACTCCTTATTGGTGTATTCTTGTAGGTACAATGATATGGATTCCAAAATTCGCCACCATTATGAGGTTATCCAGGAGGTAAGCCATCGTTTGTTGATTCCATGCAGAAATGGTTTGCACGGTGTCTTGCAAGCAAGTATTTTTCAAACATTGGTTTCATGTTCTATTCCTGGATTTGATGTGGAGTAAGAAAATCAGTTGGTAAAGCACATGAATGTCCTCGACCTTCCGGTATAGTGCATATACTCATTGGGCTCGCAAATTGTTTCAAAAGGATTCTTGCCTTAATCTTAGGTAATTCAAGGGTTATTTGTGCCTTTTTATTCACCAGGGACAGGGTTGCATTTTTCATGAAATTATATTGTTATATTTAAGAGTATATTTTGCAAAATGACTAATGATTGTCCAAACTATAGCAAAACTACAGATTTAAGGAATTTTAACTATATATTTACCCATTTTTCCCCATACATATTAAGGATTTTTGGGTAAAAAGAACATATTTAACAAATTTTGTTGTGAAAGTACAGATTTAAGCGTCCAGCATTTTCAATAGATTACTGCTTCGGACATGTTCCTTGACTCACCAGCCTGTCAGTCCATGTAGTGTTGTGCCCCAAGTGATTTGCCCAATTTATATAACTGGAAAAAGCGACTACTTTTGAACTTTTCTACTCCAATGGGGCCTCAAATCAGCAATTGGCTATAATTCTTTTGTTAAATCTGTACTTCCTAATATAATCCCTTAAATCTCTAGTTTCATAAAATTTATTTTTTCTTTAAAGTTACATGAATCAGTTCACTCACACTCACGCCATTGATTTTTTTTCACAAATCGTAACTTGGCTTCACTGCAATGCCCAATATAACATCTTGATTACAGGGTTCGCCTTGCCACATTTACTTTGATCTTGAGTTTGATACAAGATTAAACAAGAAGAGAGATACAGATGAAATGGTGGATATATTGATCGCTGTTGTATTCAGTGCCTTGCGTGATAAATATTCTATTGAAGGACATGAAGAGTGGATCACAGAGTTAGACTCATCCACTGAAGGTGGCTCAATTCTCTCTACTTGGTTCAAATAATTGAGTTTGATTTTATTCTAAGAAGTTGCTATTGAAACTACAAGCAGAATTTGACAATATGTGACATGTGTTTTGTCAATTCTTACTGGTCGAAGTGATTTATTTCTATAACTTTTTTAGTAAAATTGTCACGCTGATATTTAATGGAACCATACCTTTTAATAGGGATTAAACATGTAACTGTGCACCACTTTAGATGAACAATAATAGAGTGCAGAGACTAGAGATATTGCGTCACCTAGAAGCCACGGAGGCCCGGGTTCGAACCCTAGATGCTCCCCAACTCTCTAGCAAGGGGGCTACCAACTGATTTTCCTTCTTTTGAGGAAACCAGGCTTGAGGATTGAATTCTAATTTCAGCCTTTGGGATGTTTTACTAGAAATCCTTCAAAATCTACCATTGAGAGAACAACTAAGAAAAAAAATATGGAATAATTTTACATTCTAATGCTACCTGGAACAGTGGCATTACAATGAATCTATACAACATGTTGAAATTCAGACATAGAGAAATAGTTTTAGTAAAGTTACAGCTAAGTTCCATGCACTTATTTGCTAGGAGGTCAATATTGCTCAAGTCAACGTTTTTCATGCACTTTCATGCATTTTTTCATTCATCTAGCATTTCAAAGTGGCAGGGAAGTAGAAAAACCTTCCATTATTACAAATTGTTTCTATTAGTTCCAACTCCATAGTATTTTACATTTTAGGCCAGTCCTTCGCCACAGTGATCTTCTATACTGCTTAATGGTAGTCACATGACAACTGCTATCATTTTCTATTTGTAGAAAAGTTTTCACGCCATCTAATCATTCGTATACCCAAGATTGCATTTAAAGACAACTCCAATGTTGGTGCGTTTGTCTGTGAGGTATTATTCAATCTCCATCTTCATTTTTTCCATTATCAGTATTTTTCTTAGTTTTAGTGGTATTATTTTAGTTTTAATTGCCACTACTGTTGTGCTACTGGTTATGTGCAAGCATGCTTTTTTTTTAAAAAAAATCGAGAAATATTTTGTATAGAGTGTAGCAATGGAAATAAAATGTTTTAGTGGATAGTGTGTTGCATTATTAATAATATTTGGAATTGTATGCACTTAATTCATAGGCTCTAGAGTAGGATATCCTAGATGCATAAGGCAATATCACCACATCTTAGATATAAAATAAAATAACATAAAAAAATATAATGGTATTTTCTGTAATCTCTAACCAGTCTTGACCCACCAATGAAGATGAACTTTTTCTCCCTCTTTTGGTTAATGCAGGGTAGAAAACCTGTAACTTCTTTTCTTTTTATCCTCCTTTTTTTCTCCCCTCGAACACACAGGAGAGCTGCATATCATTGTATTAAAGAAGAGTCAAAACTCAAAACCTTGAGTACACATACACTCAGACCAAAGGCCAAAAGCTGAAACCCTGAGAACACACGCGCACTCACTTCCTTTATCTCTTAATGTACATGCGTGTTTGTGCTATGAAAAATACACAACCACACAGAGGGCAACGAAGAAAGACAGTCCTCGAGTGGCAGTCAAACACCACATTCTACCCTCCTCAGCAAGTAACAAGGTGACTGCCGGACTTGGTACAACAATACAGCAACATAAAAAACACAGTTTCCAGAGGGTCGAGTCACCAAGGATGATGAGAGTTGATGGCTTGCTGTATTGGACCACTCAATGATCAGCAAGCGAAGGTGGCCACTGTCTGGAGGCCAAACTGCTGCAGAAGGCTGAACCAAAACTGTCTCACAAAAACACAAATGGGTGAACAGGTGAGATAACCTGTGCACATTCCAGAATCTTGAAGAATGGATTCAAAATGGAAGGCATCTAGATTATGCCATATCGTTCATATGAAAATAGAAATCTATTTGTATTGATGAGCTGATACCTGCTATACACAGTACTGTTGTCTATGGATGTGTTTGGTTGCGTTTCTCCAGCAAGCCTGGCTAAGAAAATAACCCAGGCTTGAGATAGCCTGTCCAAGTTAATGCAACCTGGCAGTGTTTGGTTGCCATGTGCTAGCTAAGCCTGATAAGCTAGTTTTTGTTTGGTTGCCTGGATTATTTGGTGTTGTTACCTCTTCTCTACAATGGTGACCTTACCTCCATCACCCCATCTTCTCTGTTCATCTCGTCGCAAAATTCATCCATCAGAACAAGAGAAGGACAAGCAGAGAAGAACAAGCAAAGGAGTAAATCTCGACAGTGGCGGCCACTGATTCGCCGTGAGGTGCCCGCCGACGAGGCCGCGAAGGAGGATGACCAGATGCGGGCCCCCGCCAACGCCGGCTCCCAAGCCTACAGATCCGCCCCCTGCAGATCTGTTAGCGAGGTCGAAGGCGAGGCGGGTTACGAGGTCGTCGGAGGCGAGGTGGATGCCGCCGGCCGGTGGCACCTCCTCAGAGGCGGCGGCGGGATGCAAGGTCGCAGAGGCGGGTTGCAAGGTCAGAGAGGCGGGTTGCGAGGTCAGAGGCGAGGTGTACGGCGCCGCACCTCCTCACCCCACGCGGCCGTCCTTGCCCCACGCGGCCGGCGGGGAGCGGCTCGAGCACGGAGAAGATGGAGGGGCCGCAGCGTTCGTCTGCGCGAGAGCGAGCAGGAAGTGGAGCGGCGGCGTCGGATGAGCGAGATCGAGGAGGAGCGGCTTCCGTGCGAGAGGTGAGCGGAGGCGAGGGGAGCGCTGGGCCGCTGGCTCAAGCCTGGCCAGGCGGAAACGCCCACTCCCACCGTTTCCAGCAAGCCTGGCTAAGTGCCCATGGGTGGTTTGCCAGGGCCTGGCTTGGAGGCCTGTTCAGGCAACCAAACAGGCCCAAGTTGGCTCTGTGGAGCCTGGCTAGGGGGTAAACCAGGGAACCAAACACTCCCTATATGGTGTAGTGTGCTTCTAATATAATGCTATTTGGAGAAACTGTGTACAACCACTGTAACTTTAGGGTGATTGCTTGACTCAGTAAAATTGCCATATCACAAAATCGTCCATTTTTCCTTTCGTCTGACCTTGATAGGTTTCTCTTGTCTTGAAAAAGAACCAAGAATGACTCCTAACTTGTCTGCACTGTTGTGGAGCTGATAATAGGATTCATGCTATATCTGTGTTTAAGCTTTAAAGAGGTTTTGGTGAATTATGGGTTCTGCAGTAGTGTTTCTGTTTCCTCATATCCACTGTCCATATCAATTTTTCTCTCTCGAAAGGACGGTAAAAGCTTTGCCGCAAGTTTTATTAGAAGGATATAGCCTAGGAAGGTCGTGATTGAGTACTGCAACAGAAGTGTCAAGTAATGCCAAGAGAAGTCTCAATTTGTTGAAAGAAAAGTTTGGCTCTTCTATGCTAACTTGCTTTCTATGCCAAGTGAACTAGTCTACTGGTGACCTCTCCTTGTTTTTTGTATTAATTGTTTTGACAAGTGGATCAGCTATGTGGCTCCTAATAGCCATTAATTAGTGTGTGTTGCTGTGCTTCATCATAGACTTCCTTTTGTCTTCTTGTCTAAGCACTGTCCATATCAAAATTGTAAGTAAATTATTTTTTGCGTAAATCTTAGTTTTTATCGCACATCTGGACTAGTGGTCAAACATTTCTACCTTAATTACAATGATGCGCAAATCTTTTGTGTATTTGAGAAAAAAAAGAAAAAGAAAAGTAAATTATCTTAGTTTTTATTGCACATCTGGACTAGTATTTCGATATATGTTATCTTGGAATACAAACAAAATATTGTTTTGATTTACAAATGACATTTTATTCTTACCCGCAGGTCTGTTCACAAATCGCAGCTCAGCGTGCAGCCAATCCTGACCTTGATAAACTATATATTACAAAAGAAAGCAGCTCAGGTCCTGTTGATCAGCTCTTTATGGATACTGCAGTTTACTCTCGTAATCGTTGTTTCCGTTTAGTTTTCTCATCAAAGTCTGGGAAGAAATCATTTCTTGTGCCAACCAAACGTTTCAAATGCCAGGAAATGGTTAGCCCTTGATCAAACGGTCTATTTTTTTATACTAAGTGAATATGTTTTCTAGTGCCAAAGATAAAATTCATCATGTTTAGAAACAATTAACTTCGGATTGATCTGCTATAATATTTTGTTATAATGTTCTAAATGCTTTTGAGGTATTTTATCTTAATTCTGGATTGTAATAGACAATTTAAGTAGAAGTCCACACTTTTGTTTCTGCTGCTTGCAGGAATGTAAAATCTGCTCAATAGATGCAATACTATATATGATCTCCAGTTTCATGTATCTGTTACAAAATCTCTGTCGTGGCATCATCAAATAGTTGTTTGCATATGTCATTCTATTGAAAAGCTTATGAACTTTTGATATCGATATCACCTATTACATGTGACATCATATTCTTATTATTACAGAATGATAAAGATGTCTTTATGGAGTCACTTATTTGTAGACTGGATGATAACTGTGAAAAACTGTTGATATGCAAACTAGACTTGGAATGCAAGAAAACATTGCATTTTGACTCTGAAATCAGCATGCCTCAAGTAAGTGTTTGCAATTTGGACCACAGCATTACTTTTTCCTGCTAGTGTACTTTTCTGAAAATTACCTGAAACTTAGTATATTTCCTTGCTTTCATACTCCCTCCATTTCTTTTCTACAAGGCATATTAGCATGTGGAAACACCTCCATTTCTTTTTTACAAGGTGTATTAGCATGTGGAAAAATTGAAGCGTGCTTTGACATCGATCTCTTACAACATGTCATGAGTTGCTACAAAATCAATGTTGTATCAAAAGATTTCTGAAATACGGATGTATTGATATATTTTTCATACACTAAGCATGCAATTGTTAGTCAAATTTTTTGAAGTTTGACTTCCTCAAATCCTAATACGTCCTATAAAAGGAAACGGAGGGAGTATTACAAATCATTCTGCACCGGCAAGCAATTATTGATACTTTGGAATTCTTGGCAGTTTTTTTTTGAAGGAAAATGGCAGGAGCTCTGCTTTTCAATTAAGAGAGGAAGGAGATTGTAACATACTCCCTCTGTTCCAAATTATAAGTCGCTTTGACTTTTTTGGTATATCCATTTTGCTATGTATCTAGATAAATAATATGTAGATACATAGCAAAATGGATGAACCAAAAAAATCAAAGTGACTTATAATTTGGAACGGAGGGAGTAGTTTTTAAATTCGCAAGTGCAGCATTTCAAAAAACAGTACATAACCTTTTCTGTTGTAGTTAACCAGAGATTATAAATCCTTACTTGAAGTGGCAACATTTAATTTCTTTTCATAATCTTTTGTACCTCAGTAGCCTTGGCTTGGACATGTAAGCTGCACGTATTGCGAGCATGGTGGCCTGAAAGCCCTGAGATGTCTGTGTCGCTACTCATAAGTTGCATTCAGTAGATGGGGCATTTATGTCCAACTGAATACAAACCACCTAAACCTCAAAACTAACTCATGGAGGAGCTCACCTTTCGCTTGGAAATGTGTGGCCCCTCCTATTCCGGCTTGCCATCTGATTCTGCCTCTTCACTACCAGTCACCTGAATTCATTGACTCATTGTGCAAGGAACCATGGGGCCTTTGCTGCTTGGACTTGTCACTCTCTTGGTTTGTGGGGAAAGTATAAACTAATGGCAATAATCTTGAACACTCTGCTGAAAACTTGTGTGTATTCAAGTTTGGGAGCTTGAAAAATGTGCTTGTGCCTAAATGTTGTTATGCAGTAAGCTTTTTTATTGTCCTTGAGAGGTACTGAAAGGGTGCTTGTCTGCCTTTCTCTCCTTTAGAAAATCAATTTAAATTTAGTATAGGCTGATTTTGTGTATATATTTTTGTATTTTGCCATGACCAGATTCAAGGAAGGAGCTATAGCGACCGCATTGCTACATATCGAAGTGATTTTTCTCATGCATATACTTATGGAAAATCTCCTTTTCCAGCTTTGGATGGCTTTATAGAATCCATCGCTTCTTTTGGAAATGTTTCAGGTTCAGTCTTCCTCATGATTATGCCTTTCAATTTGTTCTGATAGTCATTTATTTGTTTGACTAATATATGTTTATGTATATTCCACAAGATGATGTTTGCCATGTTTATTGCATTAGACTTTTCCAAATGTTGGAATGGATGTTCATGCCATGTGCAGTCATGTTATGGCAGTTAATTCTATATGATGTCTATTTTTTCCCAAAGTGGAATGGTAGGCTTGATTGATCCCTAGCTCCCTGTTGGTTTCTTTCTTTCTTTTTTATTTTATTTGTAATGGCCGTGTGTACCGCTTTGTTACAGACTGGAATTTTATTTTAAATAAATAAAGCCTATTTATCGAAAAACATGGCTGAGAAACTGTTGTGCATTCACCTCAAACAGTTTTGCAGAGTACCTGAATCCAAGTTGATTCCGCTTACATGTATCCATGTCCAAGAGACATCTTGTCCAATATTTTTCTTTTCTTTTTCCAACAAAACAGACAACTGCCTGTGTGTCACTGTCACCAAATATAGATACTTCCCCTAGAGCTGGCTTATTATCCACTACCTCTTTTTTTTTAGGAAATATCCACTACCTCATTGTCTATACCTAAGGGGACAACAACATCTAAAACTCTGCTTGACTCCGTAGAGGAGAGCACATTGTTGGCATTCTGTGGGATACAGAAGCTAATCTTAGAGTAGATTAAGAGCACATTATATCGGCATAATTTATGTTACCATATTTTCTTAGTTAATGTTGAAGGCAAATAAATGTTTTGTTCTATGATGTTAGTATTGGTACAGCTAGATATATATTATTAGCTGAGACATATTTTTTTTTGAAGAATCAGGCAGGGGAGCTGCTGATTATATTAATTAGAAGAAACCCAAACTGGGCATTACAACAGAGTAGGACCCCAAAAGAGCCATGCAACAACAAAAAGCAACAAACAACAAGATAGCAACTGAAATTTGATAATCTGTTGTATTGCAGGGAAAATTCGATCTTGGTTCTGGTTTTCTCAGGAGAGTTTGATAATCTATAACACGTTAAAGAGCAGATACTGTGAGAATATTGGAAGAGAGCATAAGAGCAATCATGGTAACAATAACATTTTAACATCTAGAAGAACAACATATAACTTTTCCTGCAGCATCAGCTGTCTCAAATACCCTGATAGTTTTTCCCAGTACCCTATCACTAATTGTGTCATGAAATGCACCAGTGTTTTACATTGTTGATTTCCAAAGAGCAGCATACTACCAAAAGTGTCATGACCCTGATTGTCAAGGTAAACGAGGGCCATTATTGCAGCGGTTAACAGTTCGCAGATTATCCTTAGTCATGACATGAATGTCTTGGAGTAGGTTACCGTTCTCCCTTGCGTCCTGTACCTTGGGATGTGATTCCTGAGCTGATGGAATCAGACCAGACAGAATATCAGGGCAATGTCGTGGAAAGCAACATTGAAAACGGCAACATGAACGGTAAATCCATCATTGAGGCTGGTGCGGAGGATCCTGAATGGTGGGAAGAAGTGGTGAAATTTGCGGACAGCATCGAGAACATGGATCGTGCTCTGTGTACCTTGGTTTGTAGTCCTTGTTGCTTCTGCTGGTCTTAAATTGTCGAGTTGTGCTAGCATACTGATCCGTTTCTGCACAGGAAGTGAAATCTGATGTCAGCATGGAGAACATGGATCATGCTCCTAGCACTTGTACCTTGGTTTGTACTCACTGTTGTTTATTTTTGCTGGTCTTGAATTGTCGAACTGTGCTAGTATACTGATCCATTTATGCGCAGGAAGTGAAGTCTGACGCTAGCATCGAGAACATGGATCATGCTCCTAGCTCGTGTACCTCGGTTTGTACTCACTGTTGTTTATTTTTGCTGGTCTTGAATAGTCGAACTGTGCTTGTATACTGATCCATTTATGCATAGGAAGTGATATCTGACGCCAGCATCGAGAACATGGATCATGCTCCCAGCTCGTGTACCCTGGTTTGTAGTCTTTGTTCTTGCTTCAGCTAGTATTGAGTTATCGAATTATGCTAGTATACTGTTCCATTTCTGTACAGGAAGAAAACGGTTATTTTGATGCTGACCCTGAGTGGTTGATACACGCGGAAAGTGCCATGGACCAGTATGAGGAACAAAGCGCGTGATCACAATCACACGCAACTTCCCAAGTGTTTGATCTCGAGGGCGTGTATATTGGGGTGACATCAGCTGTCTAGAAGAAGTATCAGGTACGAATTTATTTGACATGAAAGGGAGACAAAGATGCTATCTATTCCCTCTGCTCTAAATTGTAAGTCCTTTTTTCAAATGCATAACTTTGATTATATCTAGGTGCGTATAAAAAGCTGTGTACTTAGAAAAATCAGGACGACTTACAGTTTAGAATGATGAGTAGTTAACAGACGGTCTGTGAGCATGAGAGAAAAATCTCTTATTGACAATGTTTTATCTACTGTAGAGTTATCATCCCTCCATCCAAAAGTCTAAAACGCATAAGCCTCATGGTGAACAGTGACCAAAGAGGACTCTAAGCGTGCTATTTTTATTTGATCACCGTGTTCCTGTTAATGTCTTAGTGTCCTTTTGTTTTCCCATGTAAACAGATATACTTGTGCCGTTGCATGCGGAGATGCAGGCAGAGGTTCTGGATGAAAAAAAGACCTGACGGAGAGCACCCGTGCATTCATTCAGCCTGGAACCCGACTTGTGAGTGCCGGAAATAAAGTAAAATGGCAGAGAGAAGCTTAGATGATTTAGATTTTTGAAAAACTCAATTTTGCTAAGATGGTTTAGACTATTGGATGGAGTATTATATATGACCACATGTCATTTAATAATGGATGCTATTTAGAATGTTCTAAATAATTTATACAATGACTTATCTATTGTACTATATATGTGACTGATATGTAATCATCTTTCGAACAAATACACGTGTCTAGTCTCCTTATTTTAATGTATGAAACAGACAATCATGTTGCGGAAGTGTTTAGCTACTAGTCATTGTACTTAGGCCAGCCTCAATACGAGTTTTATATCCTAATTTTCAGGACTCGTGCTGAAAACAGTGTAGATTATCCAAACTTATTTCATCCCATGAAATTTTCAAGATCTCTCTTCATTTATACTATATCATATCCACTAAAACCTTAATAATCTAATAACTGTGGCGTTGAACTGTTATCCATATTGTCTTGCATCTCGTTTTTCTGGGAACATGCCACGCTAAACTTAAGTGTGGCTGCACCTTAATTATTTTACGCATGCACTTGTTCAACAAAGTGAAACATTTAATGCTATAGGCTTGTTTGATCCATAGATCTAATAACGAGCAGTTTTGTATCAAACGGATCTAGCTAATAAACTAACTAATTATTAGCTAGGCATCTAGCTAACAAGTATCTTATTAGTTAGGCAACCTAGCTAATAGCTAGCAAATTGTCTGAAATACTCTTCCACCATCTAACCTTGCTCCTTCTCTTCTTACGCCTTGTTTGGCACGATTCATCACTGGAAAAAGTGAATCTGGATCTGGGATTCAACGTGGATTAGCTCCACCGTGGATCTGAGATCCAGCCTAGATCTACCAGGGAACTGTTTGGCTAAGGTAGCAGCTCCAGATCCACGCAAGGGCATTTTCATTAGAATGACTAGAATTGCCCTTGGAATTTAGTGTTCTCTCTATCTCACTACCAACCTGGGCCCACGCATAAGCTCTTCTTTATCCTCCTATCGAGCAGAGCACATCGCACGACGGGCAAGCGCAAGGTGGGCGGGCGCGGGCGGCCTCGCCGGGCGTGGCCATGGCGGACAGACATGAGGTCGGCGACCCCGTGGCCTCATCGGAGCTGGGCGATGCGGATCGACGGTGCGGGGTGGACGGTGCTCCAGCGGTGTGGGGCGAAGGGGCGCGGCCACGGCCGTGGCGCGGGGTCGGCGGAGGGTGAGGGCGAGGGCACGGTTGCGGTTGGGGCTCTGGTGGGGCACAGGTTGGGGCTCCAGTGGTGCTGGCATCGGGTGCGGCCACGCGAAGAAGAAAGGAAAGAAAGGAAACACAACAAAGCGTTATTTGTGTAACCAGTGGCATTGGTGAGTAATTTTTCCCAACTCCACTAAACTTGAGTTGGTGGAGCACCCCCTGAGGAGCTCCACCAATTTGGTGAATCTGCCTCTAGATCCACCATTTTGGTGGATCCAAATTTAGTGAATCTGGAGTGTTTGGGAAATTTTGGGTGGAGTGGAGCTGAAAATGGTAAATCTGGAGCTGGTGAATCTCTGCCAAACAGGCCCTTAGCTGTAGGTACTGGCACATCGTTGGCCCTAATTTGGTCTAGAGATGGCAAGGGGATTTGATCCCCGATTTCCAGCAGGGAATTTACATATTAGGGGACAGGGACGGTGCTGAGCCTTCGTGAGGATTGAAATGGGGAGAAAGTAGTCCCCGATGGATTTCGCGTCTCGTGCTCACATTCTTATGGCTATGCAATCTGGTGATGTTGGAATATTATTTTTATAAGTGAAATCTTTGTACCAGTCTACTATTTCATAAATCTGTAGTGTACCAGATATATGGAGATCTATCGATAATTTGATATCTTTTTTTATGATGAGTTGATGACCATGTTGATTTGTTGGTTGTTGATACATTGTTGATTTTGTGAGAAATTTATGCAGGGACGGAAATCCTCATGGGGATTATTTCTCGTCGGGGATAGGGATGAGGAAGAAATGATCCTAGATGACATTCATGGGGATAGGGACGGAGAAAATTCTCACCCACGAGGACGGGGATGGAAATCTAACCTTCAACGGGGAATTCCCGTTGACATCTCTAATTCGACCATACAAGAGAGAAAGGAGAGAGACGAGGCCAAGAGAGAGGGGAGGGACATTATGGGCAAATCAATCAATTTTGGCCACTTGTTAGCTAATGGATCAAAATAAACTTGAGCTAATAGTTACTCTCAGTCTTAAAAAAATGACACAATTTTACATTTAACTAAATACATAAAACTATTAATATTTAGGATATATAATAAGTATCTAGTAATAAAATATAATATTATAATAAAATTATTTAGAGTTACAAATATTGATACTATTTTTTTTATAAACGCAGGATTGGTATTCTTTATCAGAACGACTAGCGCTCGGACATCCGCACCCACCCCGCCTGCTGCGGCCGTCCCGCTCGCCCCGCCTGCCCCGCATGCAACTGCTGCTTGTGTGCAACTTTGCGCCTCCACGGTCTCGCATGCAACTACTGTGCTTGCAAACCCGCCCCTGCATGCTAGTGCGCCTACGCATGGCCTCGTGTCTGCTGATGCCCGCCTCGTGCCTGCTGATGCGTATGTAGGTGGGGACCGCTACCCACGCGGGGGCCGTAGTTGCATGCGCCCGCTTCCTACGCCTACTAATGTTGCAATATGATAGCACTTATGCAACATACGTCTGAAATAGGTGAAACATTTACAAATATACGTTTGCAACATATGTGTATAGCAACTGCAAACATCTAGATAAACACATTTGCAACGTACGTCAGAAACAGATGAAACATTTTGAATAGACGATTGCAACATATGTATGAAACATATGCAACATCAAGATGAAATTCTTGCAACATAGGTCTGAAACAGGTGAAACATTTAGAACATACACTTGCAACGTACATGTATAGCCACTATAACATATGCAATATCTATATAAAACACTTGCAACATACGTTTGAAACATTTGAAACATACACTTGCAACATACGTATATAGCTATTGCAACATATGCAACATCAGATCTACTTTTGTAACATCCAGATGAAACATCTGCAATATACATCTGAAACACATAAAACATACGGTTGCCACATGTGCTCATCTACTTGCTGTCGTCCAACTGAGGCTAGTTGACGCGGTGCGGGGGACTGGGGGAGCGTAGCGCGAGGCGCGGGCGGCGCACGGCACAAGGCACGAGCGGATGGTGCGAGGCACAAGCGGGGTGCGCGGCACGAGGTGCGAGCACGCGGGGCACATGCGACGCGAAGTGGGTCTGGTGCGACCGTGCGAGGCACGAGGTGCAGGGGCACATGACGCGAGACGGAGGCGCTGGGGCACGAGGCGTGGGACGCACGCGACGCAAGGTGGGGTCCATGCGAGGTGCGAGTTTTTTTTTAGAAAAGTGCGAGTCACGAGGTGCATAGGCGCAAGGCGTAATGTGCAGGGGCGCGCGAGGCAGGTCAGTCCCATCCGGACTGATGGACGTCGTGACAGGAGCATTACGGATTCTTTATAGGACAAATTTTTCGTCTGCTAACTATTAGTTGGTTGTTAGTGAATCAAAGTTATTAGTCTGCTAACTATTAGTTGCTAGTGAACCTAAGCAGGAAACATATACGAAGGACAGTCATCCATCCATCAATAACTTGGAAAAGGAAAACTTGGCTGCTGCAGAGTGCCGGTTCGCCATCCGTGATCTTCCGCTCCAGCAACCGAAGTTAAGCTCGCGCTCTTCTTCTGCTCTGCCAAGTCAATGCCACACGCCGTCTCAAGTAGGAACGGTTGGATGGGAAAGGAAGGGGCTCTTTTATTAGTGGGGCTAAATAATCTCGGTATCCGCACGGCAGCAAGCCAAGCCTATCATCTCCTCTAGCTGCTCCTGCAGCTCCTCCAGACCTCCACCTCCATGGCGCGCCTGCTCCTCTTCCCATCCCAAGCGTGCGTCGATCCTGGCCGTCACCTCCTCCTCCACCCGCCGGTCTCCAGGCCCCGTGCTGTCCGGTCGGGGCCTCCTCCCGCCGAGCCACACCGCGCCGCCGGGGTCGCCTCTCCTCCCGGCCGTTGCTCACCGCCCCTTTGCTGGACCCACCACCCATTTCTTCCTTGTAAGTTGCCCTGCATATTTGGCTATCTTCTGAGAACTAGCCCCTGAGTCTAGAAGCGGGCTATACATATCCCCTGCTGCTTTTCTTAATTTTTAACCAATTAGTAATTAAGTAATGCGTGCTATGTATTATTATTTCCTTTCTTCGTTCATTAACTACAAGTCTAGAAGTACCATTATCTCACCACTTTTTACTTATTTGGATTCTCTTCGTTGTTGCTAAGGAAGGCAGATCATCAAAGAGAGTAGGGGTCGTTTTTGCTGCAGAAAATGCACAAGGTCAGTCATTTCATATCAAAATGTTCATGCTCCTATGGAATGAAATTTCTTCCTATAAAGGCACATATGACACATTAGGCTTATCATGCCAGGCATATTAGACTTTTTTAATTAAAATTATTCATGTTTTACACTTTTACTCTTCTGTAGTGTGCAAATAAGGTGTAGCAATGTCGTCGTCTGTTCTATTCCTTGTCCTGTTCGTAGTGGCTACCTGTTTAACAGCATATTCACCAAAATGTCACCTTTTTCAACCTGGCCCGTGCAGGCTATTTTGTTTTTTGTAAACCTTTCTATCTTCCTTAATGAAAGGCAGTGCTCCTGTCATGTTGCCTCAAAGAAAAACAAAACTTATAATTACTGCCTGTCAACAAATATCTCTGGTAAACAGAGAAAAATAACAAAAGACACATGTAACCGATATGACACCTCCATTTAATGAATATACGATGTTCTGGGTAGTATAAATGGTCTCCCTTTGCGGTTGCTAATCTACCTAAGTTAAAATGCCAGCTGCTGTAAATGCAATTTACCATGTATCATACACTTCTTTTTTGAAACATGCCATCTTTTGTAGTTCAAATGAATGGAAACAGGAGAGTTGTTATATATTATAGTAGTATTCAAGTCAGGAATCACTTTTGTACAATTGTTTCCCTGATATATGATGTATGAATTGTCTTTACATACCAGAAATTTCTTCTCAACCTCCTGGCAAGGATGAAAGGAGAGGTGGGAATTTGCTTCTGCAATTCGGTGCACTCCCATGTTGCATTATGGCATGGTTGAGCACTGCTCAATTAGCACACTCTAGTGTCGGAGGAAAGCTAAATATGGTTTATGAGGTCGGGGAGCTGTTTGAACTGGGAATTCAGCTGTCTTATCTGCTCATACTTCTTGGTCTGCTTGGAGCTGGTACATTTTTTGTTATCCGTCAGGTTCTTGTTCGTAGGGAGCTTGATCTTTCTGCCAAAGAGTTGCAAGTAAGCCACTCGAACTTTTGTTTATGGTTTGATTACAAGAGACCAATCTTATATTCAAAATGCTACTAAATTGACTCTGATTCTGAAGTGTAAAAAATTTGTTTAATGTACATACTGAATACTGTATAAACTAGTGAGAACATCAATTGGGACATAATATCAACCTTTTGTCCTGTACCATAGAGTTCTTTTTCTGTGGTAAACCTTAATACTCCATCCTCCCTTTTTGTTTGGTGTATTAATAGGTATGGAGTTCTTAGGCAGGAGGGATGAGACATAGATGAAAGGAACTGTAGTACTTCAGATATTAACATTATAAGGACATTTTTTTTTTGCGAACATACAAGGACAAAAATTGTATGATTTATAAAATAGAGTAGAATGATTCCCCAAACCATGTCAAATTAAGTTTCATAGTTATTGAGTACCTAGGCAGGAGGGATGAGACATAGATGAAAGGAACTGCAGTACTTCAGATATTAACATTATAAGGACAAAAAAATGTATGACTTATAAAATAGAGTAGAACTATTCCCCGAAACCATGTCGAATTAGGTTCCTCCCAGGTGCTCCCAGGTGCTCACAGGTTCACACTCCCTGAAGGGTAGCTCTCCTAAGACGAATTGAAGTTAGGGGTACGCCTTCTCCCTGCGGTCAAATATGTCACAGTCAGGTTTTGCAACTTCTAGTTTATTGTCTGAGCAAGCAGTTAGTTGCCTTGTATTGTCGTGTCATACTAACGAACGTCGGGTACTCGTTCTATCAGAAGTGTTTGTAGTGATGATCCTCACATCACAATCGGATTTGTTTACCAATTTCCAATGTTGATCTGTAATTTTCATTATTTGCTAATTGCTAAAGCCCACCAATCTACTAGGAACAAGTGAGAAGTGGTGATGCAAGTGCTACTGAGTATTTTGAGCTTGGAGCAGTCATGTTACGGAGAAAATTTTATCCAGCTGCTATCAAATATCTGCAGCAAGCAATTGACAAATGGGACAGAGACGAGCAAGATCTTGCACAGGTTAGTTATCATCAACTGTTTGATAATATTTTGGAGTCTAGCCGACAACTTTATTTTCTTTTGTTGAGTTAATCACTATAAGCTGTAGAATCACCTTCTTATGGCACCTCAGAAGAACCAGTGCTCTGTGGTAGCCATTTTATTTTCATGTTACTCATTTAAAAGGATAATCTAGGATATCTTCAATAATATATACAGGCAGATACTGCTATGGAAACACATGTGTTCTGTGATCAAAGACAAATGTTTAGGGGAATAGTCTTAGAGGAAGTACACTAAATAATTGTTTGTACAGAATATGCAGCTCTTTTAGACTCAGATTGACACTTAATGTTGAAATCAGTGTATGTCCTGTCGTTGTAACTTGAGTTGAAATTACCTTGTACATACATAATTTATGCTTTATGAATTCAAAACTGTAAAATCATGTCCACGAGATATCTCATTGCACGAGCTCTTTCTCAAGATACTGTTGCTTTGTTGGTCAGGTCTACAATGCCCTGGGGGTCAGCTACAAGCGAGACAACAAACTTGACAAGGCAATCCAGCAGTTGCAGAAGGCCGTGGAGCTCCAGCCAGGCTATGTGACAGCTTGGAACAACCTGGGTGACGCGTATGAGCAGAAGAAGGACCTGAAATTGGCCCTCAAGGCCTTTGAGGAGGTCCTACTCTTTGATCCCAACAACAAGGTTGCAAGGCCACGCGTGGATGACCTCAGGCCGCGTGTAAGCATGTACAAGGGCGTGCCTGTAAAATCCGAAAAGCGATAGGGTAAATCATGCATCTGTCTAGTCCCCGTGCAGAATAGCAGTTGTTTATTTTTTGAACGGTAGCATTTGTAAACATGATGAGCTTTGTAGTAGCATTGGAAAGGTCCCTGAAAAAAGGCGGATGTAATACGATTGTGTTGATGGAGCAAAAATTGGAGAATTTGTTGTAGGAGCCACTTTGCTCGTCTGCTGTGAGAGATGGAGGGAGGTTAACTGCTAAACGCTGGTGACAGAGAGAGAGATTGCCGATTATGGTCTTAAAAAAGGCTAGGATGGGGCCAGTGGTTTTGCGAGGTACGGAGTATCCGCCGGGGCATATTTCTCTTTTTGTTTTTTCATTCATCCATGCTCCCTCTTATCACAAATAATAAGTGACACTTTGGGGTGGTTTAAAGCCAACCATTTCAAACTTGACTATAATTTATCGTTATGTGTTGAGTACAATGTTTGGAAGCTATATTTATAGACGTTAAAGAAAAAAAAAGTAACAGTCAAAGTTTAGAATGGCTGACCTCAGACAAGTTCAAAACATCATTTATTTGCGACTCGAGGGAGAGTCTGTTCTCTCTCTTCTTTTTTTATTTTATCTTTGGCGTATTTTGTTTTCTTTATTTTTTCACATAACTGAACAAAGATTTTATTTTGTTTATGTAAATCCGGTATACGATGCAACCTCTGTCCAGACGAGTTAGCCCGGGGGCACTGGATTAGAAATGGATGTGGGTGTACAATACTAGGTAGTAGTACGCGATGCAGCCGTTATCCACCCAGCACCAGTCTGGTGTTGTTTTCTCTCGAACTCATTGTCTGTTGTCTGTTAGACACTATCCGTAGGCGGATTCCCGTCTCCACAACGTGTGGTGCGCGCACCGCCCAAAATCCACCACCCCGGCGCTCCACCACATCGCAGCCCGCCGTCGCGCTCGCGCCTCTCCCACTGTGGCGCTGTCCCCTCCCTCCCCTCACAAAGCATCGGCCTCTCCGAGCGGACGCGAGCCGCCCACCACGCGAGACGCGACCTCAGGGTGCCTCTCTGCCTGCTCCCGCTGTTCGTTCCTTCCCCATGGCCACCGCCTGCCGCCTCGCCGCGCCGCTCGGCCTCGCCCCGTTGCCTCGCGGCCGCGCCTCTGCCGGCGTCGTGGCCGTCGCCCCGTGCGGTGAGATCGAACACCTTTGCCTCCCGCTGTCTCGCCGCATCCCGCTCTTCTACGCTTCTCCTCCTTCTCCTAGTGCTTACGCCAGCTGCTGACCATTAGCGACTTTGCTTGTTGGCTCGGTCGTCAGGCTCCAAGATCCCGAGAGGCGTTGCTGTCAGGGCGACGTCCGGCGGCGAGGGCGCCACGGAAGAGGTGCCGGAGATCGTCAAGGCTGCGCAGGACGCGGTCGGCATTCCCACATTTCCTTGTTATGTTACCTCACATCTTTAATTAATTTCCTTGCGAGTTGAGTTGCTGCTGCCGTAATTTGCTGCGCAATGTGCATTACCGTGAGCGTTGTTTCTAGGCAGTGGGACAAAGTTGAGGACAAGTACGCCGTGGCCACCATCGGTGTTGCCGCCATCGTCGCGCTCTGGACGGTAGTAGGTGCCATCAAGGTACATGATCAAGACAAAGCACATACCACATGTTTGTTTACCTTTGTTCTACGCTTGAGTTCAATGTTCAAATACATAAAGTTACAAGCATCCTCTTTTCTGCGCGCTCAGGCCATTGACAAGCTTCCACTTCTGCCTGGTGTTCTTGAGATAGTTGGAATTGGCTATACAGGGGTAAGTTCTCAAGCATTTCTACTTGCAGAGACTCTGTTGTATGTTGCTGATGAACTTCTCTTATCATTTATCAACGTGTGGAATGTGTTGGTGATGCAGTGGTTCACATACCGTAACCTCATCTTCCAGCCAGACAGGTGAGGCACACTGTTCTTGGCGATCCATTTATATGTTATAATTTGGTCCTGTAAGCCATGGCTGAAAGTACCGTTGGCTGGTTTGGTGTGAGAGAAAAATATTATTCGTTGATAAGCCATGGCTTATAAGCCAAATATGACCAAGCCAACGGGCTGCTTATCTTTCTTCTTGTACCAAAGATCACATGGTTCCTTTCTTTTTCCTGAAACATAAAAATAATCACAAGAACCAAGTAAACTGTGGGATTATTGAGTTTCTTTTCATGACCTGGTGTCAAATAGCTCATCTTCTGAATCAGTACACTTTTCAGTTATGCAAGATATGTCTTGTCTTGCATTGGACAGATATGGCTTTACGTTATGTCATGACACAAGAAAGATGTAATGATTTATGCTTCATTCTACTGAAAATAACCTCTTCAGGAATATTGTTTCCTAGGTATTCTTGTACCGATTTCTTTGTTATAAACTTCTACCTAACCAAATTATATCTTCTTAACGCAGAGACAGACAGCTCTTCCCCTGTGTACCTAGAAATAAAAAAATGAATGTCGATACTATGCCTGCATAAAAGAGGAACTAGCTATAGTTTGGTTGATTTTCATATCCTTATCAAGTTCTGTGCACTGATGGATTATATATTTACAGGGAAGCTCTGATTGGCAAAATCAAGAGCACTTACAAAGAAATCACCGGGAGCAGCAGCTGATCAAACATCATTTACAAGATGGGTTCTTAAGCAGATGGTAGAATTTGCATCCGTAAGCACTGAGCTGCTATGCAAGTGAAAGTGCTAACATTCGAGACTGGAGCCTCAGCTGCTTCTGGTCCTCTGACCAAAGTCAGAGAAAAACTCTGCAGTTGAGCAAGCCATTTTACTTGTTTCAATGTAATATTTACGACATATTTCCAGTTCGTTTTCCAGACTACTGCTTACTATGAAGCACAATCTGGGATTTTAGAGAGCATGCGATTGGCTCTTTGTTTTTTGGACAATCTCAGACTTACGTTCATTTGGTTGAATGTTCTTGTGCCAACGTGCATTGCTATTTCTTCTCTCAAGAAAGGGCATTGTTTTTTTTTCCTTTCCTGGGAAACAAATATGACTAGAAATTGAACTTGAGATGAAGCTTAGCAGTATGAGAGTATGCTGACTTGTTAAAGGCAACCCCAACAAATTCAAAAGAAAATACAAATTGTCCAATCTTTATGATGTCCGTACTAGTCTTTGGTCAAATTTTGTGGTACAAACAAACTACAGATCATGAAGGTTTCAAAATAAGCCCTGTAGAAAGGACGTGTAGTATACTTTTCCGAGAGAGAACTCATGTGGTAAAATGCCACAATCAAATGAGTGTTTTTTCCTTCACCGTGCGATCGATCTTCTCTTATATCTTCCCCTTCTCTTTGATGTATTTCGTTGCTTTCACAACCATAGATCGTATATCCTGTATGAGTGGATGCAGGCTGAGCGGATGTATTGGTATGGAAAGAATACTATTTGATTGGTTGTATGGGTAGATACAGTAATCCTATGTCAAGACGTTTGGTTGCATGTACGACGGATACGGGGACTCTTCACCAGAGGATGACATGTGGGCCAATACAAATTGCACCGCATCCACCTAGTCAGGATGGCTGGTGAAGCTTATTTTGATTTCCAAATCCACCTCGACAAGAATATGGCTACCGGTTTTTTGCAAAAAAGACCTCTATCGAAAATCAACTCATGTTTTATACACTCATTTTAACACATCCTCAATTTATTCAAATCAAAATGACCTCCGTCATATCTTTTTTTCCTCCGATCTCCACATATGACAGATTACAATTTTTTTTCCAATGGACAAATCACAAACTAGTACTATTTGATTGGTTGTATGGGTAGATACGGTAATCCTATGTCAAGGCGTTTGGTTGCATGTACAGGTCGATACGGGACTCTTCACCACAGGATGACATGTGGGCTGGGCGATTGCACCGCATCCACCTAGTCAGGATGGCTGGTGAAGCTTATTTTGAGTGTATCCACCCGACGAGAATAAGGGTATTTTTAAATCGTCTCATGGCACAACCATGTGCCTTATACACGCCGGCACACAAACAGGATTAAAATTGGGCCTCCACCAACTAGGGGTGGTCCACATATGCTGGTGGTGGTTTTTTCAATAAAAGGACAAATCACATATCTCGCCGCGGCCGGCCATGGTGCTCGGCGCCTTTGCTCCGGATGCGGAGCGAGGAAGGGATGGGGAGAGAGAGAGGGCGCGCTTCGGCGTCCACTTCACGCGTGCGTGCTGCAGAGTGGTGAGGTGTCCAGCTTGCAGACGGGGGTGAGGCCATGCGGCAGCGGCTCCTGTGTGCAGTCATAAAAAAATATATACATGTGTTTCTTTGCACTAAAATATATATGTGTTGTATAATATTTCTGTTTTTTTCATTCACTCGTGTAGGTTGCATCCACTCAATAACCAACCAAACAAGCATCTTTCTCAAACTATATATTTCCACTCAGCCAGGACGACGAAGATGCAGACAATCAAACACACCCTCATGTAGGTTGCATCCACTCAATAACCAACCAAACAAGCATCTTTCTCAAACTATATATTTCCACTCAGCCAGGACGACGAAGATGCAGACAATCAAACACACCCTTGTGTCTCCATTGGTTTTGAGCTCTACATGTGTGAATTGTGTTTGGCAGCCACGTTGCTTTTGCCCATACGTGTTATGGTAAAAATGATGAGCAGTGTATTCATAGATCATCACCCGTTTGTTCCTCGTCAAATTAGCATGTAAAATGCCGCCGATTTTCTGGTCCGATGGGTCGGACTGAAGTCGTGCGAGGACCACCTCTGTAGTTTACTGTTGCCTTGTTGGGCCGAGAATCAAACGCACAAGGCCCATATGGCAATATCACCTACGCGTTTGCTCGATCGAAACAGCCGATGCAAATTGTGTTTTTTTTTTGAGAAAAAATGTTTCTTTTGTGTGTGCTTGTGCTGTGTGTAACATATGATCGGCCTGCGTTAGATTTTTTGTTATAAATAAATATATAATAAGAAAGAAAACTAGACTAGAAAGGCATTTAACTTTTTTTTATTTTTGAAATGGGAGAGCTTAATTATAGACGGTGAACATGATTACAATCACACGGGCTAAAGCCACCGACACGCAGGTCGGGATGTCATTAGCAACAAAAACATATGAAGGCTCTCTCCTACCAAACTGACACAGCTCATGGGCTACCTCATTTGCACTCCGATGACACTTGGAGATTCTGACTTCCTGAAAGTTCTTGAGGATTTCCTTCGCTTCTTCTATGGTATGGCATAATATAGATCGGTTTTTGCACTTGTCTTCTAGATGATGCACTGTTGCGAGGCAGTCCGATTCCAACCAGAGGCACCCTTTCCACAAAGGTAGTGTGTGTTTTAGACCCATCCACGCAGCTAGACATTCCGCTTCTTCAGCCGACTTGCATAGTTGATCGCTTGGCCATCCAAAGAACAAAACCTCGCCCATATGGTTCCTTGCAATGAAACCAAGGCCGGCATGACCGGAGGGGGGGGTTTGAAACCTGCATCCACATTTAGTTTTATCCAATCGGGGGGAGGCGACGACCAAGGAACTTTGTCTTTTATGTCATACTGAGGAGCAGAGTAGTGTTGTATAGGCCCTGGATTACTGATTTCTTTACCCTTTCCAAGTGCTGGCAGATTGTTGTTTGGTTTCATCGGAGCGATATAATTATGAAGGAATTCTACTGAAGCAGATATAGGACTTTCTCCTTTCCGGAATATGATATCATTTCTGAGGTGCCAGGTTCTCCATAAAAGGAACATCAATTTAGCTCTTGCCTCTTTGTTGACAGTATTTAAAAGGACTAGCATCCATTCTGGTCCTGTGTAATTAAACAGAGTCTCCTCAGGAGGTCCCAAAACTAGACTAGAAAGGCATTTAACTTTTTTATATAACCATCGGCCCCGTTCGCTTGTCTTAAAAATGGCTTGTTCGGCTTCTTTTTTCAAATTTTGTTTTCTCACAACAATTCAAATTTTAACAGTGTTTTCGGCCGAGTTTAAATTAATTCGCATCAAATGACGGGGCCATCATCAGAAATGTAAGGAATTTTCTCTCAAGAGCCGCACCATAAAAATGATAGGAAAAGCTCACGTGCTGCCCCACACGTCAGGTCCCGTAACCGACCGGGACCCCACCCTCCGCATGATATTTGCAAGAGACTTTTCCCTGTGTGCCATTATAAAAGATCAGAATCCCAGTGTGGCCCTCGAAAAAATCAAGAGCCGCACCCATAAATCATGATAGGAAAAGCTCACGTGCTACCCCACACGTCAGGTCCAACTTTTTTATGAATTAAAAAAAATAAAAATTATAGATCTCGGGATCCCCATTTAATTCCCTAATCATATTTGAATATATTTTTTTTTTTAACAAATAACCTTATAACCGCTCTCCATCAGACTCCGCATACCTTTAAGATCCGAAAACACGCTGAAAAAGATATCCTTAATTTTTTAAACCAGAATTTTCAGAGGCAGATGAAAAAAAATCTCTATTTGCAAACAACCGCTCTCCAATTTCGCACCGACCGACAGAGCCCCTCCGTCCCCACACCAACCAAGCCCGCACGAGCCGCCACGAGCCGAGAGCCGAGACCGAGACGTCTCGCCCTCGCCTTCTTCCTCCCCTCCCTGACCGCTGCCGCCCGCAACTTCTCGCCGAAACCCTAACCTACCTTAGACCCCGACGCGCCGCCGCCCGCCACCGCCCAAGGGAGGGAGGGAGAGGGAGACTCACACATCGAAGGGCGTCCGATGGGGAAGAAGAAGAAGCGCGTCGACAAGGTCTTCTGCTACTACTGCGACCGCGAGTTCGACGACGAGAAGATCCTCGTCCAGCACCAGAAGGCCAAGCACTTCAAGTGCCACGTCTGCCACAAGAAGCTCTCCACCGCCTCGGGCATGTCCATACATGTCCTCCAGGTCCACAAGGAGTCCGTGACCAAGTGAGAACTGCCTCCCCGTCCCCCTCTTCTGCTCTTCCCCTCCTCGATCTGCGCCCGCCTCGATCCGGCGCGGCTGATTAGATAGGGGAGCTAGCTCTGCTAATCCCCAGCACGCCGCCCCATAACGGTGCTGTGTAGCTTGTTTTGATCTATTGGTATCCCCTTGTTGTTGGCGGGGTGTAGTGTAGTGGATGGATTGCACGTGCGCCTTACTGACAGTTGAATTTTGAAAAAAAAACGTCTGTGCATCCAGAAATTCCTAGTATTATTACGATATTAATGCTTGTCAGCTATCCCTTTTAACTTTTATTATGGCCTGAGAGGCTTCTTACCGAGAAAGGTAGAGTGTGATTCTGGAACCTGGATGATATGCTTGTGTTAGGATCCCATCATGCTCATGGTTTTCATGATTGAGTACTTGTGAGCATAGGGTGTTATACTTTGATGTTTTGCTTGTTTTATTGATTAATGTCATATTTCATTCTAGCGTGTTGTTATTTATGAATATGCTAGTGTGTTGGTATATATCGATTAATTGCTACTCTGACAACAGTGCAGTTCTATTTTCAAGTACAACCTTTGCACTGGTAACAATTCTAACCTGTTACTTATTTTTGGCTACAGGGTTCCTAATGCAAAGCCTGATAGGGAATCTACAGAGATAGAGATATTTGGAATGCAGGGAATTCCTGCACATGTATTGGCTGCTCATTACGGAGAGGGTATGGTGATTTCTCTGCTGTAAAATGTTTCCTTACGTTTTTGGATGACCGGAGAGTGCTGAAAACTGTGATGAATCTAGAAGGGCACCGTTTCTGTAGTTTTTTTTTTTTTCATAGTAGCAGTTGTTTTGTTCTCCTTACCACTATGAAATCACTACAAATTGTATGTTTCTGGACTACCCTAGCTGCATATAAGGCTCAGATAGAGAAAATATAATTAAATTATACATGCACGTGAAATAAATTGAATTTAAGAGCTGAACTTGCTATTATGTATCATTCCAGAAAGAGCATTATAAATTTTCCCCTTCACCTGACATCTGTTTCACATGCAGAGGAGGATCCTTCAGCAAAGGTAGCCAAAGTAGAAGTGCCACAGGTAAGGCCTGTTATTATGCCTAATTCGCTAGGCATGGCATTTCCTCCGCGACCAGCTTATGGTGTGGCACCGCCAATGTATGTTCTCTATTTCCTCCTGCCTACTTGCACCAATTTAATGTTTCTGTTCCCCATTCTGTATGTAACCAGTGTGTGCACTCACTTTGGAAATGTTCTAAATCTTTCACATTTGCTGGCAGCTATAATCCTGCACTTAATCCTTTGATGGCTCGGCCTCCAATTTGGCCTGGTCCACCAGCACAAGCTTGGTATCCGCAACAACCAGCATATCCACAACAACCAGCAGTTTCAGTTGCTCCAGTGGTTGCTGGGCTCCCGCCACAGCAGCCACTATTTCCTATTCAGAATGTGCCTACTCCTATGACATCAGCACCTGTTAATGTACTTCAAACATCGTTTCCTATGGCCCCTCCAGGAGTACCTTCACCTGTTGCTCCTCAGGTTTCCCAGCCTTTGTTTCCTGTTAACACTTCAGCTGTCAATGGAGCTGCAAATTCCCCATTTTTAGCATCTGTGGCACCTGGAACCATCCCGACAAGTTCTCCAGCAGCAGTTGGTGCTGCAGGAATTGGATATGGAGCCAACAACCAAGGTATGTTGATCTTAAAACCATTCCTATGTCAATGCACTGCAATGTGGTATATTTTCATTTGTTGTCTGCAAATATTGTGACTTCCACACAGGGATTGTTGAATTTGTGCAGAAGAAATAAAAAATGAACATAAATATGTTCTTATGTTATCTTAAAATGCCTTTGATTTTTCTGTTCCTGAAAGAAAAATTAGTTCATAAAGGCTTTGTTGTTGTTGTTGTAAAGAAAAATTAGTTCAACAGCAAATGTACTTTATGTTGTCCTTGTTACTTTATAATTTCGATATTGTCATTTGAGACTTAAGGTGAACGATGCTTGTCTATCTCGTATGTGTTTTTGCCCATGGTGCAAGGTATGCTCTCAGTGAACTTACATGTGCATCCATCTGCTCAGGCACTGGAGGTCCAGCAGTTGGATCTGCACCTGCAGTGTCCAACAATAAGGCGTCCGGTGCCCAACCAGCTACGAATGAGGTCTATCTGGTGTGGGATGATGAAGCAATGTCAATGGTATGCTTCTAACTGGTATCTCTTGGTCTTTTAGGTTACTTGTGCTTTTGGTGCATTATAGTGATATATGACTGAAATGTGAATAATCTCAAATGCTTCTGTAGGAGGAAAGAAGGTTGGCGTTACCCAAGTATCAGGTGCATGATGAAACTAGCCAGGTAAGTTGTGTTTTTTATGTTTCTACTATTATTGTAGTTTCTCAAACAGAAGGGGGTTCAATCGCTCAATCTGCAGTTGCTGAGCAATAGTGAGATGATATTTTGACGCGTCCAACCAATTCTTACCTATGCATGATTGTATCTTCTTTGGTGCTGTACTCATATGGGCAGTTCATTGTAGGGGTAGTAGGATGATTTCTAATATTAGGTTGTTGCAGAATTCAAAGGCATTTTTGTTATCCTGAACATGGGCTTTGAGCGGCTGCCTTCATTGTTTGTTTTGGCCCAACATGCTTGGGACCATAGATTTTGTGTTCTGGAGTGGTGGTGGCTCACCTCAGTTTGTTGCATTTAGACATTTAGTGATGCTATGAACCATGCATTTTGCGTTATATACTTGTGCATAAGGAGTGAGCAAACATCTTGGAAGGTTTTTGCTACTCTTGACTTGTTTGTGATATATGAACTTGCCCATTTCTTTTCATTGGTATCTGCTATGGACATAATTGATGCATTTGATAATATAAACAATTCTTTTTAGCCAATTACTTAAATGCAAATTAAAACAGTACCTCACAACCAATTCTCTTGTGTTCCATACTTCCATGTATACAATTGCCCCTTTCATTTTTCACTTTAATTTTTTAGCACGCTCACAATGTACTGAATTGTGAACTTGTCAATGACTCGAGGGCATGTAATTCTTGAATGTTTTAGGGGAAATATGAAATAGTCTCATCCAGTCATAGCATATGTGAGTCTGAGACGGTTCATATTCTATGCCACTTTTTTCCATTTTCACAATGTCTCTGTTGTGTCGATTGGTCACCTATATCCTGCTGATTTCGCGCACATCAGGAATTCCAAGTAGGTATTTACATCGTTCTTCCTAGTAAGTTTTCTATAATCTGACTAATTTCGTGGTGCTATGCTAATGGCTTGAGGGTTATCGACCAAGCCCTGGACAGCTGGCAAATATGTATGTATTTAATTTCAATTGAAGCATTAATTTTATTCATTGCCAATTCACTGCATGCAAATATGGGTTTGTAGCAAAACTAGGTGGCTGAGGTTCTGCCAATACGGTAGCATTTATTGTAGCTTAAGTTTGGTCGAGAATGTGGCAAGAGTTTTGCTCCAGGTCAGCTTTCATTTGGCCAGTGAGCCTGAGATGCTCTGCTTGAATCTTTGTTCCAGAGGCACCAACCATATCTAACACCAAGTTTGTTGTTTCACAATTTCTATGAACAGATGAACTCTGTTGACGCAGCAATTGATCGAAGAATATCAGAGAGTCGGCTGGCAGGACGCATGGCCCTATGAAGAAGCTGGGCTTTGTTGGTAGATTACCCCCCTTGCAGTTCACCAAAGGACTCGTCTGTGCTTGTATCGCTGTGCAGCAGTCGGTCCTGTTCATTTAGTTAGCGAATGGAGTTGCTGCAGTTAAAAGCAATGTGTTGTTTCTGACTTGGAGTGTCCAGCCTTTGTTCTTCTATGTTTCCAACAGCGAGAAGAAAATGAATTTGTAGCCCTTAGGAGTTATTTTTGTCCAATTGTCACCTCATTGGGAATCTGCTGATGAACACAGCAATTTCTGCACGATTGCAACCTGGTGATGTGTTATTGCCAATTGAACCCTAACGGTGTGCATTGTCAGGAAAGCAAACTTAAAAATGTTACCGGATTTAATATTTTTGTCCCTACAGTATTGAGTATGATGCAATCTTGGAATATCCTTCCAATGCTTTGGTTATTCGTTCTTCAACCGTTAACATGGCGGAACAATTCCCCCAGTGGTGGTGTATGCTAGTTATTTATTTGATTGATTAATGGCTCCAGGTACCTTTCAAGAATGTTGAAAGTTATACATCCTAGAGACTCGCAAGTCACAACGTGTACACCCAGCATGCTGTGCTCAGTTCTGAGTGGGGCCTATCTTGAGTGAGACCCAAGCAAATGGAAAGGGGTAGCAAGGCCTCCCAATCTGCAGTTCTCTGGGCACGAGCACGAAGCAAGCATCTGTGCCAAGATTGCCAAAGGAGAAAAGGGCGACCGGCCGGCAGTCGAATCCAAAACCTCAGCATCGCCAACGGATCCCAATCATTTCCATGCTGCTTCACTCCTTTAGGACGACGCTTTTACCCAGCCCTCGCCGAGCTACGCTTGCTCCAAAGCTCACACACGCCTCAGTCTCCGGTCACTGTTTCACTGCTCGCTTCACTCGCATCTTGCTCTGCTTTACGCTTTTTTTGTCGCCGCTGTTTAACCGGGTCTGGGGCATGGCCACTATAACAACTCCGGAGCTACGGCCTGCACGGCCGCCATGCGTCCATCCGTTGAGAGCCCCATGTACGCCATGGAGGAGAGCACCGCGTACCTGCTGCCCCCGCTGCGGCTGCTCTTCGTCTTCTTCGCCGCCTTCGCCTTCCTCGCGCAATGCGGTGGTATGTAGGCTCCATCTTCTTCTTCTTCCATGCTACTGTATCTTGTTGCACTGCCTACTGTGACATGACCGTTAAAGGATTCGTTCGTTAGTATCACTCCTTGAGTAAGCAAGCTTCAGCCATTGCTTGCTCGTTCCATATGTTTTCTTCTCTCTGATTTGGTGACAAGGAGTATGGATTATCAGATGACCAGGTGACTAACAGTAAATTTGATTGGGCAGGTGCACGAGTGCTGAGGCCAGAGAAGATGCTGCTTGGCCACTACTCTTACTACAGCACGCCGGTCATGCCTCCCTACGCCGAGGTGTTCACACCATCAAAGCCCCCTCCTCCTCCTCCCGGCTCTCCCAAATGTGTCCTCACTCCGGACGCGCCGCCGCCTCCTCCGAAGGCGACCACCGTCCCGGCGCCGGCCTTCGTCTACTCATCCCCGCCGCCACCGGAGATGGAATACCCTCCGCCATACATCAGCCCAAGCCCGCCGCCCACGGTTGCGCCGCTCCCGCCCGTCGTTTACCCAAGCCCACCAGAAGTCACTCCTAGCCCACCAGAGGTCGCGCCGTATCCCAGTCCCAGCCCACCCGAAATCTCACCGAGCCCGCCAGAGATATCACCGAGCCCGCCCGAAATCTCACCTAGCCCACCAGAGATATCACCGAGCCCACCCCAGTTCGCCGCTCCACCCCCGTCGTTTACCCAAGCCCACCAGTCACTCCTAGCCCACCGGAGGTCGCGCCAGTATCCCGATCCCCACCACCCGAAATCTCACCGAGCCCGCCAGAGATATCACCGAGCCCGCCCGAAATCTCACCTAGCCCACCAGAGATATCACCGAGCCCACCAGAGATCGCGCCGAGCCCACCGCCCATGGTTACGCCGCTCCCGCCCATCATTTACCCAAGCCCACCAGAAGTCACGCCCAGCCCACCAGAGGTCGCTCCATATCCTAGCCCACCTGAAATCTCGCCGAGCCCACCAGAGATCGCGCCGAGCCCACCGGAGATCTCACCGAGCCCGCCGGAAATCGCACCGAGTCCACCGGAGATCTCACCGAACCCAACGCCGCCGAGCATCGTGTGCCGAGCCCACCGGAGTACGCGCCAGAGCCACCAACCTACGTCCCAGGCCCGCCGGAGTACGCGCCAGAGCCACCAACCTACGTCCCAAGCCCACCGGAGTACGCACCGGAGCCACCAACCTACGTCCCAAGCCCGCCGGAGTACGCACCGGAGCCACCGACCTACGTGCCGAGCCCACCAGCGTACTACGCGCCGGAGCCGCCGACGTACGTGCCGAGCCCGCCAATCATCCCCAGCCCTCCGGAGTACGCGCCAGAACCGCCTGGGATCGTCCCGAGCCCGCCGGAGTACGCGCCGGAACCACCTGGGTCCATCCCGAGCCCGCCGGAGTACGCGCCGGAGCCGCCGGCGGTCGTGCCTGGCCCGCCCCCGGCCGTCCCCTCCCCGGGAGGCGGCTTCCTGCCGCCGGTGGTGTTCCCGCCCCCGTTCGCGACGCCGTCGCCGGGGACGACGGGCTCGGAGTGGTGCGTGGCGAAGCCGTCGGTGCCGGGCCCCATCGTGCAGCAGGCCATGGACTACGCCTGCGGCTCGGGGGTGGACTGCGACTCGATCCTGCCGTCGGGCCTGTGCTTCCGGCCGAACACCATGCTGGCGCATGCCTCCTTCGCCTTCAACAGCCACTGGCAGCGCACCAAGGCCAACGGCGCCACCTGCGACTTCGGCGGCACCGCCATGCTCATCACCAAGGACCCCAGTAAGTCATCTCCTACTCCAACGTTGTTCAGTAATCAGTAGTACTCCGTACTAGATAATTACTTCTACTTGCAATGCATATGTGCGTCTAAATTCAATAACAAATTCACAAATTCTTCAGCTCAATGCATGTAATGTAAAACATGTATGCATTCTCCTTTTCAGGCTATGGTGGCTGCCACTACATTTTGATGTGATCAGGCCAGTCCCACCTACAGGGCAGCGACTGCACTGTTCCTGTGACAATTTCTTTAGCTATCAACTGTGGCCTAAAGCCCTGAAAAGCTTTCGAAGTAGGATAAAACATTTACTGAAGATCCGACGAACTAGAGGCACATGCTGTTCTGATGTTACTGAAGGAACTTGCAGTGGATCACTGATTTTGTATAGGGTATAAAAGACTCCATCATCAGCCATCCATTCCATCCTATTTAGACAGAGTCTTCTAACTCCCTTTTTTTGGTACTTCTTATTGTTTTGTATTATTCTGATGAATAAGGTATGTAATATCATAGTGGTAAATAAGTCCTTGATAAAGGTACAGCTAATTATAACTAGTGTGCAGCGGGAAGTGTTTTATTGTCTCATCTGATAGTTTTAACAGCCTACTGATTTTGTTTCTCCAGGGCACATAACAAACTCACTTCTCTTGAACACACTGTCACTAGTTTTAGCCCTGAATCAGGCTGGGGCTTCATTAGAAGAAGCGAACGCCTGCAGAACATAAACTGGATCGCCAACCTTGATGATCTTTCCTTTGCCCTTTCCTGATAGAGATTCCTTGCAGACTAAATTCTGCCCAAAGTACACCTAGAAAAATCAATTAAAACGTTCCGTTGTCAGTGATCCTGCACCTTAGCAACTTCCAAGGCCACAGACAATTCCTTAACAGACTAAGCAGATAATATGAGGATGGGCTGCATAAGACAAATACCTGTCGTTTATTTTTGTGGCTTGGACGAAGCACTTGGTCGGACCGAAATGTCAGTAGAGTTTCAGTTGGTTCAGTGCCAGGTATTCCATTCTCTTGATTAATGGTTGGCACCTGAATTAGCCAACACAATAGCTAAGCAAATGATAATTTTGTATGTATTGGCTTGCTGAAGTAAACAAGCACATCACTGTATGATTGTATCCATTTTGTCAATTCTATGTTCCAGGAAAAAAAACATCACTGCAACAAATTATTTTTCATCTTTACAATGGTCACTTCAAGTCCACAAATAATAAATAAACTAATAACCGTACTAAAGTCTACAGCTAGGATAAATCGACTTACAGGACAAGTACTTAATAGACAATGATGAGACATTAAAGTTGATCAGTATTAGATTATAACACAAGTAAGTAGTTAAACATCAAACCATACAGCCAGCTTGTTGAACAACTAATTTATTTTCATCAGCTATCATGTTCCCTTTCAGACATAAACTGCACGATCACCTTTGAAGCTAGAAGAGTAACAATCCGAGGGGGTATCTTACCTTGCAGCGGTTGCATAACTTCACACCTAGGAATGTTAGGTTGTTTATCTTTATGGTTTTCCACAGGTCCTCTGAGTATGGGTGGCATCCATCCACTAAAATACTGTCAAAAGGAATCAGCTTAGTAAGAAGGTAAGGACACAAGTAGTAAGCAACTAACTGTAGAAAAAAAAAATCTACTCAGGAAACATAACTACAGGTGCACAATCGTGATGCTTACTTTGGTCTGAAGCGGTTCATTGGTACAGGTTCTTTAAGAATCTCATTTAGTGCATCCAGTGAGCCCTGCAGTACAACGAAATGTGCATTATGAGGTGCAAGTTTTGTGTTTGGCAACATTCACACAGGGCATTTGTCACAAAACCGAATAGAAGTATGAAGTGACCTGAGAGGCTATCAGAAATGGGAAGCAATCGGTAAACGTGATCTTGTAACCTTGGGCGAAATCTGGATCGGTTGGTCTAGTTTCCGATGCTGTAACAAACGCAGCAAAACAAGCGTTGTCCATAAGCAACAGAGAAGATCATGTAACCGTGCAAACCTATTCCAGGGGAAATGACGAAATGTATGTCTGAACCTTCTTTGAAGCGCACTAGTCGACTTGGCTTCCCAAAGTAAGTTGAGAACCATTCGGCCGCTTCAGCCCCTTCGTCATATGCAGAGCCAGACCACTCCCACACAGAGACGTGGTCGATTGTGGTGTGTTCCGCTGCTAGAGGTATCTTCAGCGTGTCCATTCCGGGTGCTCTGATAACTGCAAGATTTTGAGAAGTGGGAATAAGAATTGTCTTTCGGAGTGTCCTCTGAAACAGAAACATGGAAACCAAAGTGCAAATCGTGCACATCCTGAGGCTGTGCTTGCCATGTCCATGAGCGGATGAGCCGATAAATTCTTGGGAAGCATGTAACAGAGCAAGAACCTTTTCCAGCACATGAATGTTAACAATTGCTGATCGATCAGCATGAATTACCAATGAAGAGTGAGAGGCACTGAAATTGGTACATGAACAAATGGCAAGGGAAAGTAGCTGCAGAATCTGCTCTCCCTTTTGCATCAATAATCAATTGGTTCCATTCAGGTTGTACAGTTAATTCCATTACAGGTAGCAAAATGGCGCGGAGAGAATACAAATGAATCCAACGAACAATACCCATGTGGTCGTCGGGCGTGAGCTGCCAGTCCTCGGCGAAGGCCTCCAGCGGCAGCTCCACCTGGACCAGAGCGAGCTTGGGCTCCACCCTCTGGGTGTATGCTCTCCCTTTGGCGTTCACCACCACCCACTGCCGATCCCACCGGAACCCTGCCGACGGAACATCAGATTAGACACACGGGCATCGTCCCACGGAGGAAGAGAACGCCAGTGATGGAGGATGGAGAAGAGCAGGTCGCGGAGCGGAGGCACGGTATGGCACCAGTGGAGGCGATGGGCGCCTGTGGCACGGCGAGGCCCCTGCAGGACTTGATGGGGTATATGAAGATAGACTTGACAGTCGCCGCCGGCTCCCCGCCGCCGCCGCCGCCGCCTAGGAGGGAGGAGAGGAAGGAGGCGGCCTTCTCCATGGCCATGGCTTGGAGCTGCCTCGGTGGAGTGGAAGATGGCGTGAGTACTGAGTAGTACTCGTGGAGTGTACTGACTGGCTGGTAGTGAAGCAGTGCTGCGGCAGCGGCAGATGACGAGGGAGCTGATGAAACCTACCCCTGCGTGGCCGAATTTTTTATTTTTTAGCTTTTTTTTTATAATTTTTTTCACAAATATACCCCTAGAAAAAAGATTTTAAAATCTGGACTTTTAGCTCGGCGCCATCGTTGCTGGCGCCGAGCTAACATGTCTCGGCGATGTCTTACGTATGGGCTCCAATCTTTCTCTCTTCCCTCGCGACTTCCCCATGCCGCTTGCCCCTCTCTCTCAAGCCGCCGCCACCATACCGCATGCCTCTCTCCTCGCCAGCGCCTGTGCGGTCCCTTGCCGTTCCCACGCCGCCGCCACAGGCACACCACCACCACCGCGCTACACGGGACCACCGCCCCCGCGCCCAGCCGATCACCCGTACCATACCCGTGGCCTGGTCCCAGCTTCAAGGCTCGCTTCGATGTGCGTCATTCCATGCCTTGCCGCCTTAACCCGCGCCCACCAGCCAAATCTTTGTGATGTGTGACCGTGCCCCGCCACACCATGCGGCCTAGGCCTACGCCCGCGCCCCGCTCTCTGCTGCATGTGTGGCCTTGAACTTCTTCAGCTGCCACAGCCGCCACGCCACTGCCCCAAGCCTGCCCCCCGCCGGCCCACACACGCCCGCAGCCAGCCCGCCGGCCTAGCTCGTCACCGACCCACCTCGCCGGCGTCATGCGACTCCGTCGACGTCCGCGTCTCCGTTGTCGGACATATAAAAATTATGAATTTGCAATGTGCGTACTTAGTTAGCTTTGATTGTAGTGTAGTAGTTTGGACATTTGTTATTTACTAGTTAATGTGATGATTCGGGTAGTTGATTTAGTTAGTGATCTAGTGAGATAGATATGTAGATAGATAGAAACATAGATACATAGATATAGTTAGATAGCTACTTAGATAGGTAGTTACATATTTAGTTAACTAAATATGATCTAGCTATTTAGTTAGTACACTATATCTATGTATGTAGTTATTATCTTATTTACTTAGTTTGTAGTTATAAAGTACTTGTTAGGTACTATCTATCGTCTAATTTGAACTAAAGGACATGTGTTTCGTTATGTGTTTGAACTAGATGGACAACCTAGTGATCATATATCATGGAGGCACCATTGAATACGATCGCTATCGATATATTGAGTTTGTTGACATGCAAAGCGTGCCTGTGCTATTCAATGATAGGTCTTCATTTAGTGAGATGGTTGCAAGGGCTCGGGAGGAGCTGCATTGCCTTGGAGATGATGGCATTGCAGTTGAGGGTGTACTGCACCTAGATTCTCCTCCCAACATCCTCAGGTGAATAATCCCAATTGGGTGTACGGATCAGTGGGAGAACTATGTGAGATCGGCTATGAAGAGTCAGTTACAATGTTTAGATGTGGTTGTGCGTCAGGTGTTAGTTGATCCCATCCCTCATGGGTTTTCCCCACCAATGGATCAGCAGGCACACATCGACCCTCCCGTCCCGGAACCTGATATGGATGTGGAGGTTGCACCTACGGTTCCCAATGCTCAATCTGCCCCAATGCGGTAGTTGGAGATGCTTGTCAGACTCATGTTGTTATGGCAGATCCTCCTCATGAGATCCCTTTGACACAGAATCATCCGAGTAAGTGTCTTAACCGCATGGTTATTGGGAGCTTACCCCCTTCCTTACATCCATTTCTTTCATTCTTTCTTCATTTCTCTTCTTATGTTGCAGGAGACATTCCTGAGAATGTGGATGTGCCCCCTGTTGCTGCGCAAGTTCACTGTAGAGATGGATTTCGTGTCTCCAATAGTGTTGAAATTATGAATGATTCGGAGCCATATGAGATGGCAAGGGTACTTGATTCTGATGATGATCGCCCTGTTGGAGAGCTGATAGAGAGTGATGTTGAGATGCTGAGGCGTATCTTTCCTGGCTGCCGTGATCCAAGAGTTCACGAGTTCAGCGATCTTGCTCATTTCGATCAGACATGTGCAGAAGGACGTGATGATGAGCTCCTAGAAGCTCCTAAGGCCGGCCCTAACATGGTAATTGAGAGTGGGAGGGTGTTCAGGGACCTCCCAGCATTGAAGAGGTGGTTGCAGGCATTTGCAGTGATACGAAAGAGACCTTATAAGGTCTTGCATTCATATGCGGAGCGTCGTTACACAGTTGTGTGTGACAAGGAACGCTGCCCATGGAGGGTTTGTGCAAGGAAGCAAAAGGTCACCGAAAAGTGGAAGATTACAAAAGTTGTCGGGCCACACAATTGTGCTGACCATGAGCTGACACTGAGGCATCGGCAGTTGACATCTACCCTCATTACCAAGCGGTTGATAGGAATATTACAGGGAGAACCCAACATGAAGGTGAGGACAATTATTAGGACCGTTGATGCGTTGTATGGAGGTTATGTGATAACTTATGGTAAAGCTTGGAGGGCTAAGCAGCGAGCGTGGAAGATGATATATGGGGACTGGAAGGATGGGTACGAGCAGCTGCCAGTACTTTTCAATGCAATCAAAGCGGTGAATCCAGGCATGCATTATGAGTACATCCCAAAACCAAATGCATGGAAGGATGGGAGGTAGATATTCTTCCGTGCTTTCTGGTGCTTCCCTCAGTGTGTCGAGGCCTTTAGGCACTGTCGTCCCGTCTTCTCCATTGATGGTACGTTCTTGATTGGCAAATACCAGGGCACACTTCTTATAGCCATATCCTATGACGCGAACAACAAGTTGGTTCCTTTGGCATTTGCTTTGGTTGAGAAGGAGAACAATGACAGTTGGGGATGGTTCTTGAGGCTAGTCTGGATTCACGTGGTTAAGCCTGGTAGGGAGGTTGGCGTCATATCTGATAGGCATCAGGGCATACTTAATGCCGTGCGAGAGCAGATAGAGGGGTATGCACCTTTGCACCATCATTGGTGTACTCGGCACCTTGCCGAGAATCTACTCCGAAAGGATGGTGTCAAGGGTAACTTTGATCTGTTCTAGGAGGCTGCTCGATGGCTTGAGGACAAGTACTTTCAAAAAAAATTGGAGCAGGTCAGAACCGCATCAAATGCAGAAGGTAGACAATGGCTCATAGGTTTGATGAGGGATTTGGAGAAATGGACGAGAGCTCACGACACCAGTGGATGGAGGTACGAGTTTTAGTGCAGCAACATGGCGGAGTCATTTAATAAGTTGCTATTGGGGATACGTGGTATGCCCGTGAATGCAATCGTTCAATTCACCTTCTATAAGCTTGTTGCCTGGTTCAACGATAGACACGCCCATGCATTGAAGTTGTGGAGTGATGGAGAGATATGGGCGCCGAAACCAAAGGCACACCTAGAGAAGAAATGAAAGGGCTGACACACATGAGGTTACATGCTTTGACCACGCCACAGGGACTTATCAGGTCGAGCATAGGGGCGTACAACGTCCAGATGGCGAGGTCCGAGAGTCGAGGATGCATGTGGTTGTCCTCTAAGATTTCAAATGCACTTGTGGTAAACCAAGACAGTACCACTTTCTATGTTCCAATTTGGTGGCAGCAGCTAGGCATCGCAACTATAATATCGAGAGTAGAATACCTCATGAGTTCAGTGTCAACACGCTTGTGCACACATGGAGCCCCTGCTTCGTGCCTTTCCGGGACCCTGGAGGGTGGCCTCCATATGATGGGCCGAAGTACATTGCGGATCCAGCTTACCGTTGGAACAAGCGTGGAGTAAGAAAGAGGACGAGGCACATGATGGTTATGGATCAGATACCTAGAAGAACGAGGCATGGGAGAGGAACCCCATTTGTTACTGACCCCGAGCAGTACGAGTGCGGCAAGCGTGGTAGACTTGGCCATAATTCACGAAGTTGTCATTGACAGATTAGTGAGGTGCGACTATTGGTTGATTTTATTATTTCATATTTGTCGTAATCATTTAATTAATTATGCATGCCTCAATTTATGCTTGTAATTGTGTCAATTACCTGTACATTTCTAAGCTCATGTTTCATTGTATATTGAATTTCTAATACATTGACTTTTTTGTAGGATGGCGCAATTTCACCTGCTCGACCCGACGTACGAGGCGACCCACCGAGGATGTCTCATAGCGTAGGGGCAGGTAATAATCTATACGTTTTGTTCAAATTTTGGTGAGCGTACATGTGTTCGTGAAGTAACAGGAGACTATGTTTTATTCCATGCAGGACCTTCTGCTCCTTCGTCCTAGAACCCACAATGGGTTCTTGGACATGCGGTACGATGACAGGTACACTCCTTTCCTGCAAAGAGCTGACCTAGATGTCATCTCTTTTCAGGTTCGTTGTGGGTTGCCCAAGTTCAACTCAGTGGTCATAACTGCGTTGGTTGATAAGTATTATATTCAATCATTGCCTCCATTCATGGCCATTTGTTCATGCGCTTGCCTTTTTGATATGTAATCTTGCTTTGTCTAAAATATAGGTGGCGGCTGGAGACTCACAGCTTCCACCTACCTTTCAGGGAGATGACAGTCACACTCTAGGACTGTCAGAAGATGCTAGGCTTGAGGATTCACGGCAACCCAGTCACCGGCAGTGCAGGTCAGAAGGCTGGAGAGCACGAGTGGAGGCCTTCCTTGGGCGTGAGCTTGGCGAGCAAGGGGCTCACACTTCTGGAGTTCTCATCTCCTAGCTCTGGCAAGAGTTTGCACAGTGCCATGAGGAAGCAGATGAGGAGATAGTTGGGTACTACTAGCCTACTGTAGGGCATGGATCCTACACCTGTTTGCCTATGTTCTCTTCCCCGACGCCACGGGTGACACTACGTCTTAAATGTGGGTCCACTGCCTCAGTGACTGAGACTAGGCGGGTCACTATAGCTGGGGCTCTGCAGTCTTGGGTTTTCTATACCGACAGCTGTGCGAGGGGTGTCGTCGGACTTTGTCCAATGCATCAC